ATATGACATGGGTTTTCGATGATGCTTGTCATAATATAATTTATTGTAAGATTTAGTTTTTTCTGCGACATTCAGGGCTAACTCCCTATCTTTCTCTCCTTCTAAAGAAAAATCTATTTCAACATCAGCAATCTCATTCAAGAATTTTACCAAATCAGCATCAGTATTGTTGCGTTGATCATATCCTAAAAGTAATTTTGAGGGAGAAGATTTTAACGCCGAATGTCGAGTATTATTAAATACATATTGCACAGTTTCAAGGCATATTTCCCAGTCACGATTTTCGTTAACAAGTTTCTTTAAAGAAGATTTTAAAAAACGATTCGCTCTTTCAGCCAAACCATTGGCCCAAGGAGCAGCTACTGCAATTAGCCTATGCTTAATATTTCTTGAAGACAGAAATTCAGAAAATTCATGGGAAGTAAATGCTGTACCTCTATCAGATACAATTTTTTCTGGGAAACCAAGAATATGAAATAAAGATGTGAGATGCTTGATAACTTCCTTAGACGTGGTAGACTTTGTAGAAAAAAGCCAAACATAACGAGTAAAAGCATCAATAATTACCAAAATATGTTTTGAACCGTTGGAGGATTCACACAGTGGCCCAAAATGATCCATGTGTAAAATTCGAAAAGGCTCAGAAGGAGTATCAGTAATTTGCATCTCGCCTTCACTGGACTTAAAACCAGAATTCGAAGTCAAGCAAGTCACACATTTACTTATATGGTCATGGACCCGTTTGTGAAGAGAGGGAAACCAGTAATGAACACTGAGTCCCTGGACTGCTTTCTCGAGACCACAATGAGCAAGATCGTCATGGTATATTCTTATTACGTTATCAATCATTGATTCTGGAACAGCAAATCGTGGCAAATTAGAGTCTTTACGATAAACAAGACCTCGAATTAATTCAAATTTCGGATTATCAGAAAATTCTAACTGCTCAGCAATCTCCTTGATCCTCGGATCCTGTAATTGCTTTACCTCTAATTCTCTCTCGAGAGGCAAAGCCTCGACAAGAGCCGAAACTTCAGAGATTCTGCTGAGAGCGTCGACATGTGCCATTTTTTGTCCAGATCGATGCAAAATTTTAAATCTATAATTCTGTAATCTTAAGGTCCATCTAGCGAATCTAGGATTCAGATGTGCCTTATTAACAGCATATACTAAAGCATGGCAGTCCGTGACAATAGTGAACTCTAAACCATACAGGAATATATGGAAACGCTCTACTGCCTTAACCACAGCCAGCATTTCCAGCTCAAAGCTGTGATATCTTGCTTCAGCAGAATTCGTGGCCTGACTGTAGTATGCAATGGGAGCCAATTTTCCAGATTCCCGTTTCTGGAAAGGATAGCAGCTAAAGCCAAGGAACTTGCATCCGTATGTAATTCTGTCTCTGCATAGGGATCATATAAACGAAGAACCGGATAAGAGATTAATTCTTGTTTCAAGATTTGAAAAGCCTTCAAGCAATCATCATTGAAATTAAAAGAGACTGACTTTCGTAAAAGATTATGCAAAGGACGACCTTTAATAGCATAATCCCTTATGAATTTTCGAAAGAAATTTGCAAGACCCAGAAAACGTTGAAGTTGAGTGATATTTTTAGGTATCGGAAAGTCTCTAACAGCCTTAACATGACGATCACTTAAAGTAATCCCTGAGGGGGAAAGAATATATCCAAGATATTCAATTTTTTCTTTTAGAAAATGACACTTTTTATAATTAAGTTTAAATCTGTATTGTTTTAAAATCAAAAATACCTCTTTCAATGAAGACAAATTTTCCTCAACTGTACAAGATGGCACCAAGATATCATCAATATAAATCAATACTTTATCCTCGCGCAAAAGAGGTTGAAAAATTTGGATCATTCTCTTTTGGAATTCAGCCGGAGCCTCACAGTAACCAAAAGGTAATTTCGTGTACTCAAACTGACCATCAGGAGTCGCGAAAGCAAAATATTTAGAATGATCTGGATGAACATCTATTTGATGAAAACCATCTTTTAAGTCAAGTAAAGTAAAAACTTTCTTATTGCCAAGCCGAGAGAAACAATCCTCCATCAATGGAAAGGGATATTTTTGTTTTATGACACGATCATTCAACGGTCGTAAATCAATACACAATCGCATTGTACCATTTTTCTTAATCACAGGAACCACCCTTGCACAATAAGGAGAAATGCTCGGTTTAATAATTCCTCTTTGCAAGAGATCGTCCGTAATTTCCCGAATCTGCCTCCTTTCAGACCATGCAAAGCGTCGAGGAGAATAAGCATAAGTTGTGTTGTCTTTAAGAGACACAGTGATGGCATGACCATCTTCAATTGGAATAACAGAAGTATTTTCAACTTCACGAATTAAAGATACAAGTTTCTCATCGACTGATGGTCCGAAATCAGATTCGAAGATAGTCTCATTAGAATAGCCTGGTAAAACAGACTGACTATTATCATCCAAAGATGCAATTTCCGAAAATAATTGTATCTTTGAATTTTCGTTACCAAATGTTTCGCAAACAATTACAATTTTGTACATTTGTAAAAAATCACGTCCAAGAATAAGATCCACAAAAAGCTCATCGTCCTCCAGAACAAGAAAAGGAACTTTAAATGTTTTATTCGGAAAAATCGCGAGCTGAAAATCAAAAGTAAATTCTCCAAAAACTTTAATAATTGATTTATTTAAAGCTTTAAAAGAACGAGATGGAGCTTTTAACTGATTCAGAGGTTGATTAATCAAATTAGAAAAAATAGATGGTCGTATAAAAGATACAGCGCTGCCTGTATCAATAAGAGCATCCAATGAGCAATTTGTTTCATTTATAGCAGTCACCTTAACAATATTGTCGCTAATTCTATACGGCGATCCGATGTCGACAAAAGCTACCGTCGGTGAATGAGAAGACTGGGAAGACTGGATGGGCTGGAGAGACTGGAAAGACTGGGAGGTCTCAGAAGATTGTGACGAAGACGTCTCTTCAATCGAAGCAACCGCTGACGAATTACCAGATGAGTTTCCAGGGAAGTTCTGCTCCTTTTTCTTCAAACGAGAGCAATTGTCCCGGGTATGACCCTTTGTCCGACAATAAACACAAAATAGCTCCTTTGAAGAGTCGGAAGGTGGACTGGTTTTGCAAGTCGTTTCTTCTTTTTTGGGATAATCCTTGGAATTGACAGGCTTAACAGGAACAGGAGGGGTCTTTTTAGATGGATCACCAAAAGCCAAAGTAAGAGAGTGCATCTTATCCAAGAATTGATCGATAGTTTCTGCTTGGATCAAAGTAGCTGAAGCTCTTAAAGATGGACTTCCTATACCTGAGATCAGGAAATCAATACTTTGTTTTTCAGGCAAACGAATGTTCTGCAAAAGCTTCAATTTTTGCATGGCGTAATCCTGAAAAGACTCCTTTGAAAAATTCCATTTTCTACTTTCTACTTTTTGAAAGGTTACACGAAAAGGTATGTCTCTTTTGAACCTTTGAGAGATAGCTTGCTTTAAGTTGAACCAGGAATCATTAACAGTACCTGAATTAAGATCTAACCAATCTTTTGCAGACTTATTCAACTTGCTGGAAGCAGCTAGGAGAGTCACTTGATCGGAAACATCATGGATACGGGAAACGCGTTCAACTTTCTCAATCCAAATATCGATATTTTCGTCTTCCGAACCAGAAAAAGACGGGAGTTGGGATGCTAGCAGATTGACGGCTTGAGCGACTGGAACTGAAGCTAAAACAGGTCTCTGATTAAGAATCGCAGCACCAGAAGAGTCAGAAGAAGACACAATTTGCGGATTAGTGTTAGAAATCCGAGTAGCGGCGACCAAATTGGTAACTTGTTGCATTAAATCGCTTTGTTGCTTCATTAATTCAGTAAAGAAGCCAAACATCTGTTGCATTGAAGGATCAGCAACTAGAGGCGTAGACCTCGCAGAAGGGATAACACTTGCAGATTGTTGAGGTTGAACTGTAGCTCGAGTATTGCAGGAAGAAGTGCCATCAGGTAACATGATATCAAAATCACCCAGTGGACCATTTCGCTCCAAATGGGATATAATTTGGTGAATCAATTGTTCACAAGATGAGGCCGACACGAGTCCATAACTAAGAGCTTCATTCTTGAGTTCTTCAAAAAAGAGTTGGTCCAAGCGACTTCGATCCATAGTGACTGATATGGCGTGAAGCGACGAAAGACTGCTCCGTAACCGTCGTTCAGAAAAGTGTTGCCGTCTTTTGTTTACAGACCTTCAATTGATTTCTTCTTCAAGAAATCATTCAATGGCGAATAATACCGTAATTTCGAGTCAAGACTGCCAACAAATGATAATGTTAAGGCGTCGGACTCTTCAACACCAATGATGACTCCAAAAGAAAAAAAAATCGGAGGAAAATTAATCCGAAACTAATTGTAATATCCCACTTCTGAACTGTGAAATCTTGAATTTACAGTTGTATTCTTTGATGTAATTGAGGGCGAATAAAGATTTACTCCGTTTGAGACTTATATTAGAATGTGGACAATTAGTTTAAGGATAAAAGATTTCCTTTAATATTATTTGTAATATTAGTACAAATTTAAGACGGCGGCGCGAACAAGGGCGCGAACACGCCGAGTCATACGACGGCTACTCACGAACTCCCTTGTCAACAACCCGTTGCTAGGGACTCGTAGCCAAGGCAAATTTACATGGCTGTACTGCCGCGACATGAATCTAATCACTTTTACACAGTCGTATGACTCGTCGACGTACTTGATGTACTACGACGTTAACAACTTGCATGGTTGGGCAATGTGTCAACTGCCATATGCCGATTTTCGATGGGTCGACGACGTAGAGAATTTTAACGTTATGGATATCGCGTAAAGACCCGTCTACAATACAGTAGTAAGCTTGGTTTAAGAAGTAAAAATAGGTGTAATAGGTATAGATGTAGGCGTAGCGAAATAAATTTATTTTATTTCTTACTCTTACTTCAGTCCTTACATTTACGCTCAGCCTATCAGGGGGCATGTATTATGGAATTATAATAATTCGAAATAGATTTCGATCGAATGTATTCCCCGTAGAAATTTTCTTAAGAAAATACAACAGAAATCTAGGAAATAGTTAAATAATTCGACTGAAATCGAATCTATTTCGAATAATTCCATATATGTACGTAGTTGGATTGTCGGCCGGTGCTAACCTAGAACTAACCTACCCTAACCTACAAATACAATTTTTAATAAAAGAAGCAATTCTGTCACATAATTTCTTTCTAAAAATTGAACAATCTCTTGCTTGTTTCTCTTGTCATTAATATGAACATGGAAGACTTTGGAAAGGATTTGGAAGAGGATTTGGAAGTTACAGAATCTGAAGCATCAGAAGCGCAAATCGTCACATGGAGAACATTGATAGATCTAGTAAGAGAGAATCCTATATTGTATGAAAAACAACATAAAAGTTACAATAAAAAAAGTGATAAGTATCTAATATGGACTCATATTGGAGCCTTGTTGATACCACCAATGATTGGTAAGTACGATGGTAGATAACAATGAAAAATAAGATTAGAATTCTTGTATTTATTTCTGCCCTTGTAATATACTGTGTTTACAGGACCCGCTACAGAAAAGGAATTTTACCGTTTGCGACAGAAATTTGGAAAAGAACGCCGAAAAATTCTGCAGTCGCAAGCACGATCTGGTGCAGGTGGAAATGATACTGCATATAAGTCGAATTGGATATTATATAATGATTTAATGTTTCTTGTTGATTACATTCAACCTAGACAGTGAGTAATTATATAATGGTTGTATATTATATACAGATTATGTTTGAGTTTATGTTTAAGATTATCATATTTATGTAGAACAACATCAAACTATCAGCGTTCTAAACCTATACATAACAAGGTTTCGAATTTATTAAATTCATTAGCCTCACAGCGACTTATTTCAACACCACCATGTACATCATCACAAAGTAATTCTGTTTCGAATTCATTAGCCTCTCACAGCGAGTTATTATTTCAACACTACCATGTACATCATCACAAAGTAATTCTGTTTCGAATTCATTAGTCTCACAGCGACTTATTTCAACATCACCATGTACATCATCACAAAGTATGTAATTCTGTTTCGAATTCATTAGCCTCACAGCGAGTTATTTAAACACCACCATGTACATCATCACAAAGTAATTCTAATAACAGCTCAGATGTATTGAATATGTTTGAATTCTTTACAGGTAAACAATAATGAAATGGAATTGTTATTAAGTATACTGCAAGTGATAGTTATTGTGCATACTCATGTTCTATATTTATTCTGGTTTAGAATCTTCAAGTAAGGATGAAGAGATGTTCTCTAAAGTGAATTCTAAGGATTCATCAAGTACACTTGCTCTAAGCAATTTATCGATTTTGTCAGACAATGCTTCTGCAAGTGTATTGAAAGCTGCAGCCTCTAAAATTGTTCCCAAGAAACAAACACCACCACCAGATATTAAGAAGAGAAAACGTGGCTTAACTGATAAAGAAAATGCATTAATGCTACAATCTTCCAAGAATATTTCTTCGCTGGCCAATACATTGGAGACTGTGCTAAAGAATTCATCAAAGCAGCTGGCTGTATCTGAAGTGACTTCTGAAGTACAAACCATGATGCGGAATGTTTATTTAATAATGTATGAAAAATAAACTTATAAACCTACTTTGTGGTCACACCATATTCCAAATATTTGCTATGTACAAGTTCTTACTTTTTTAAATTTTATATGTGAAGCATTTAATAATGCTTGTAATAAATGTATGAATACGTTTAGTTAAGAAAATATTTGAAGCAGAAATATTAAAGAATATTAATTAAGACAAATCTTAACAGATATTCATTTTTAATTAAATTCCTTATTCCATGCTAATGAAAAATCAAGTAAACAGTGTTTATGTAATTTTATTAATAATAAAATAATACAGTACGAAAATCTGAAATATATTATCCTAGTCATATTAACTTTATATACCATATGTATGTGTATGGAAAATATATATTGCATATCAAATTTATGGCTGTACCGTAGATATATATTTAATTACACTTTCTTAGCTTTCTGTTTTTATATATCGCCTTCGCTTTTGATCTTCAATCGAATACATTTGTAAAGTGACAAGTGACAATTTGAAGTAAAAATATTAATAAATATTACTGGACAATTTGCAATATATACATTGTAAACCGTGTTATTTTATTAGAAACAATTTTAAGCCATTTTCAAGGATTGTTTAAATACACTACGCAAAAAAATTAAAGGATCACTTAGTCCATCCCTAAAAATAGGTAAAAATTCAGAAGAGTGTAACTTCGTAAAAAATAATCATAACGAAATTTTTAAAAAAGAATTTTAAAGCATGAAATCTCTACTTTCGAAATCGGTAATTGATATTTCGATTTGATTAATTTTTTACGTAGCTATACGAACAGAAATGGGTATCCGTCAAATCTGAAAATTTTGTACAAATTTTACAAAAGTCTATGGCATGAACTAAAAATCGCACACAAATACGATTTTAAACAGTCGAAAGAGTGAATCTTTACCTTCAATTTGCTTTTTTATTGAGCGTTGTACGATTTTTTTTCGACGAGTTATTCGACATTGAAGCAAAAATGCCCCTTATTGAATGTCGAATAACTCGTCGAAAAAAAATCGTACAACGCTCAATAAAAAAGCAAATTGAAGGTAAAGATTCACTCTTTCGACTGTTTAAAATCGTATTTGTGTGCGATTTTTAGTTCATGCCATAGACTTTTGTAAAATTTGTACAAAATTTTCAGATTTGACGGATATCTACTTCTGTTTGTATAACTCCGTTAAAATCAGTCATATCGAAATATCGATTAC